TGTGTATATATATATATATATAATTTATGTAAAAATTCATCAAGCTGCATGCCTAAGATTTAGGCATGTTTTGTATGTTACAGTCCAGTTTGTGGTAGTTTTTTATAGCAGTGATAGAAAAAACTACTAGATCACTATCGCAAGGAAATTGACCTCAATGCATCTTATTACAGCTCAGTGACCAGCAATTTCAGTTCATGACCAATTAGTTCTCTAGGACTTCAGCCAGCTCTAGACAAGCCAGAGCTAGAGCCATTCTTTTGTGCACAGCCACTGAAACCCAGATGACAATCAAGGGCACTCTTCAAGAGTGTAAATTTGTGGAGTCTCACCTTTGGTGTCATGTTCTCCTACTGGTGTCTTGAATTCCTAAGGATTTTTAATAAGGGACCCCACATTAGCATCTTGCACTAGGTGACACAAATTGTATAGTTGGCCCTACCATCATCCCCTTCCTTCCCCTCTCCTCAGCATCAGGGCTAGCCCACCAGACAGATCTCTCCTTAAATTTTTGTTAACATTATTTCAGAGGCCCTATATGGTCCTTTCCTGACATTAGAATTTAAACTTAGAAAAGGGCCACCTTCTCTACCTTGACCAATCCTCCTAATTCCAAATTTCAAGACAAAGAAGTTGAAGCTCTTTGGACTTCTCACAGAGTTGGCCCATTCTCTCTAAAGACCTCTGCAGAGCTAACTGATGAACATCTGTAAACCTGAGACAGTCTCTCAAATATTACTCCACGATGCCCTTCTGACTGCCTGGGAAGAGACTAACTGGAACCTCCATTCTCTGAAGAGAAAAAAAAGTAACTATCACTGGTAAGACACCTCTTTGAATGTAGAACAATAAATATTAATAAGTATGAGAAAAGGGAGTGACATGATCAAGGAACTTTCTCAAACTGAATTTTAAAATTAAATAACTATTTTCTGGAATATTGCTCCACTTAATGTTCTAAAGGATATATGACCCTGAACGGTAAGGTGAAGGAAGAAATTCATCTAGAGCTGCCTGAAGTCCTGGAGAAGAAATTGGTCATATTTTGCAGCCCAGTGTGATGGCACACACCTGCAATCCAGTACTCTGAGAGGCTCACACATGACAATCACAAGTTTGATCCCAGCCTGAGCAATTTAGCAAAACCTTGTCTGAAAATATAAAAAAAGACTGAAAATGTAGCTCAGTATAAAGGCCCTGAGTTCAAACCCCAATACTATAAAATTTTTTGAAAGATTGGTGAGGTAACATTTTTCTCCTAGGGATCTCACAGGGCTAATCCGCCACAGAAAGGCGTTCGAAAAACACTTTCCTAAACAAAGCCATTACCAAACTAACTTACTCTATTTCATCTTCTTTTCTATTGAAATTTACAACCATGAAAGCCAGCACCCATGTAAGTTAGGACATTTTCTTTGTCTCTCTAGTTCTTTCCTTGCCTCTCTGCTCACATATATAATCTATATAGGACAGCAGCTCGTGGTGGATGTTCAAATCAATGTGAGAATGAGGAGAGCTAACATTTATCAAGCACCCTGTGACAACAAGCACTATTCTAAGCATTTGTCATGTGTAATCTTATTTAATGCCATGGCCTACTTTAAAGAATACTCTCCATTTGTAATTCAAGGAACCTCAATTTATGGTTGACGAATCTCAATGGACACCATTGAGGGTAAACTCAGCATTTGTAAAGGGAGCATTCCCAAGGTACATCTACACCCAAGGGATTATGGAATTCCTTTTCTGTATATGAAACGAACAATTTTTTTTTTCTAAACCAACAGCAAACTACTGGCAGCTTAGTTGTAAACCGATTGAGGCTAAGTTGAAACACCTGGCACTTGTGCCATTCAAGTGTACATTAATGTCACTGATGATACTACTGTTCAAGACAAAGATTTGTTCTGGAAGCTGTGAACTGATTTTACTAAACTGAGCTCTAAAGCAAATACTGGGGGAAATATGCTCTCAACCTCTGCAGTTATTCTGAAGTCATAAAATAGTTTTGTGAAGACATATAAAGCGTGTCTCACTAATGGAATATTGAATATGAAAATGAGAGTTCACTTTTTTCACTTTGATATAACAAATAATAAAACCAATGGGATGCCTGTTGTTCCCATGACAAATGATGGTGGAACCCAAATGTCTTTGGGCTTCTTCAGCCTTTAGATATTATAGGACTTCTCTTCAATATAATCAGCAACAAAATTTGCTGGTTCTTGCATGCAATACACCAAAACCCTAATGTCTTTGAGACTTCTTCAGACAAAAAAAATTCTTTCAGACAGTTTTCAGGCACTCCTGGAGAGTGCGCATTACCTATTAGCACAATCTATCCAATCAGCTACTACACTGTTACTAATTTTTCTTCTTTCTACTTAACATCCCCTCTCCACTGCCTTAGCTGGAAATCATGGCAACCACCACTAACCCCCACCGGGCGTCTCTTGCCATCTCTGATTAGGGTCCTCACTGCCTAATTGCAGCTGAGGCACTGGTGTCTGCAGACATCAAATCTGCACAGTGTTCTACTGAAAAGTAGGGGAGAAGACTGCTTACATTCTGTGTTGGACAGCTTTCCATAACTGTGACAAAATATCTGAGATATACCATGAAAAGGAAGAAATACTTTGTCTCACAGTTTCAGAGGTTACAGCCTATTGTTGGTTGGTTCTATTACTGTGAGCCTGAGGTAAGGGCAAAGCAAGATGGAGGAAGGCAGAGGAAACCTGCTCACTTCACGGCAGCCAGAAAGCAGACAAAGGGACAGAGCCTGTGTTTCTGGGCTTCCTCCTTCTTCTTTTGATCCATTTGGGCCCCCACTCTACTGGATGGTGCTGCCCACATTTAGAGTGTGCTGTGCCCCTCAGTTTGCTGTCCTACATTCTAATCCATTCTGGAAATACCCTCACAGACACACTCAGAAATGCACTTACTTGCTTGGCATTTCTCAACCCAATTAAATTGGCAATCAAGATTAATCACCAAGAAATGGAGGGGTGAAGTTAAGGGAAGGGGAATAAAAATATTTTAGATATGTTATGTATATGTACCAATGCCCCAGGATGGATGTAATTGTTATATACTGCAAATATATACTAAAAATTTTTTAAATTAAAAAGGAAACTTTAGCTGCACGTGGTGGCGCATGCCTGTGATTCCAGCATTCAGGAGGCTGAGGCAGGAGGATCTCTGTGAGTTCGAGACCAGGCTGGGCTACATAGTGAGTTCCAGGTCAGTCTCAACTATATAGTGAGACCCTGTGTCAAAAAACCAAAAACCAAAAAAAAAGAGGAAAGTTTAATCGTCATATACTATATTATCTTTTTTCAGTGAAAGGAGGAAAAATGTAAAATATGAGTAAACTAAAGACTTCCTTATCAGGAGCATGCAGGAATAACTTTTCATCACAAACTACTCAGTCTCGCTTAGATATGGAGAGGAAGACAATCTTGTGTGATTATAGTTTCCTTAAACAGAAGTTCCAACCAAGAGAGGAAGCAAGATAGCAAAATAGCAGCACTGAAAACTCACCTGCTCCACCGTGGTGATAGGCCTAAACAACAGGTTTGTAGCGGCATGTGGAGGTGAGTGATGATAGGAGAACACTGGAACTTGACAGTAGAAATCCAAAGACTTCAGACTAAAAAATAACCAGAAAAATAAAATACTCAGCACCAACCACCACAGCTCCACAGCTAAGGGGGCGGGGGGTGTCTAGCTTCTGCAGAGGTAAATGTGAAAGGCAGAATTTCAGCAAGTTCTGTCAGGACAGATGCTGATACCTTATGGACTTACACCCTAAATAGATAAAATACCTAGGGTCTTCATAGTGAGGTAGCTCTGCAGAAAATTCATTACATGTACCAGCAAACGACCTGGATACTGTGGTCAAGAGCCACTCAAGAAGGGTCCCATTATCTGAGTTTGGACTTCTCTAGGGATCAGAACACCCAGTGTATCCCTATCTTCTGAACCTACCCACATTCCGCTGCACTGTCTCAGCAGATGTGGCTCCATGGAGTGACTCTGAAACAAACCCAGAGTGCTACACTGTGGAGACCAGAAGCGGCACTTCTCTGAGGCTAGGGTGTGGCCATTCATAAGAGGTTTAACAGGAGTGCCAGGACTGAAGATGTAAACCCACAAGGTTCTCCCCACCCCTTTTTCAGTGTAGCACTCGCTGGTTCCATGGCTCCCTACCGTCTGCAGGGTCCTATAGTGGTTCTCAAGCAAGTGTTGCAGCTCCAATTTTTGACATGCCCCAGGGCATGTAGCCTAAGAAACTCCAGAAAGAAAACTTGTGGTGCTTGCTGGATTTTCTCTTGCTCATTCCTGCGTGCAGCTCAGCAGAGAGGAGTTTTATTCAGCTTTAACCATGCTCTTCTGCACCTCAATACTTTATGTGCACTACAGCTAAAAATAAATGGAGATGTACGCTTGCCTGCACATTACCCCAGGACAAACAGCCTACAAAGATCTAGAAATACCCTAAAACACATCACAAGTAGAAAGCTGCTTAGTAGAAAGCTTCTTACTAAAAAGGCCACCTAAAAAAAAAGCCACAGAGATATCCATCCCAAAAGATGCAAAAATCTCAACAGAGAAACACAAGAAATATGAAAAAATAGGACATTCCTTAAAGTGCATAACTCTCTAGTAACATATTCCAAAGATACTGAACTGCATGAAATGCCTGAAAGATATTTCAAAATAATGATTTTTAAAAGCTCAGTGAAATACAAGAGACTATGGATAACCAGACAAATAAAATAACTTTAGCATATGAGTGAGAATTTCAGCAATGATATAGAAATGTTGAAAAAGAATCAGGAATCTTGGAACTAAAAAGCTCTATAAGTCACTTAAAAATTCAGTTTGATATTCTCAACAACAGTCTGGATCAACTGGAAGGAAAAATACTGGATCTTGGAGTCAGGACTTTCAAAATATTACAGACAGAAATAAAGAAAAAAAGGAATGAAGAGAGAATTCAAGATGTGTGGAATACCATTAAAAGATCAAGTGTTCCCAGTGTCAGCATAACTGAAGAAGAAGTAAAAGTTTAAGGGCATAGAAAACCTGTTCAATGAAATAATAGCAGAAATCTTCCTTATCTTGGGAAAGAAATGGACATTCGGGTACAGAAGGCCTTTGGAAACCCAAATAGATATTACCAGAAAATATCTTAGTCATGAGAGATTATAGTCAAACTGTCAAAAGTATGAGACAGTGTAAAAGACTTTTTAAATATGCAAGAGTGAAACACCAAGTCATATTTAAATGGAAAATCATTACACTAACAGCAAATTTTCAGCAGAAATCATAAAAGCTGGGAGAGTGTGGAATGGTGTTTTTCAAGTCCTGAAAGAAAATACTGCCAACTAAGATTACGATGCCCAGTAAGGCTATTATTCACAATCAAACAGATATAAAAACTGTCCAAAAGTAAAGCATAAATTAAAGAAATTCCTTCCCATTAGCCAAGCCTTACAAAAAGATGTTTAAGAACAGACTGAAAGTGAAAGGCAGCAAAATGATTTTATAAGCAAATGAAACCTAAAAGAAGTTGTAGTTACATATGACAAAATACAATTTAAGACAAAAGCAGTAAGAAGGTACAAAACGGAGACTATATAAAGATCAAGGGATAAATTCAAAAATATATAAAATTATAAATATATATGGTCAAATATCAGGACATCCATTTTTTAAAAAGTGAACACTGTTAGACCTAAAAGGAGAGATGGGCTCCTGTACAATAATAGTGGGAGATTTCAATACCCCACTCTCAATGATGAATAGATCATCCAAGAGAAAAATCAAAGGAATACGAGGGTTAAATTACACTACAGATCAAATGGACTTAACAGACACCTACAGAATATTTTATTCCACAGCTGTTATTCATATTCTTTTCAGCACATGAAACTTTTTCTAGAATGGACCATATAATAGGCCATAAACAAGTCTTAACAAATTCAAAATATTGCAATGATATTCTACATATTTTCTGTTTACAATGGCATGAAACTAGAAGTCCACAGCAAAAGAAACTTTAAAAATTATGCATATACATGGAAATTGAACAATGCACATTGAAGAAATTGAGTTCAGGGAAACTTTTTTTAGTTCCTTAAAATGGAAGGAAATAGTAATACAAAATACTAACACATGTGGGATGCAGCAAACTCAGTAGCAAGAGAGAAGTTTATAGCAATGAGTCTCACATCAGAAAAATAGGAAAATCTCAAGTAAATAACCTTATGGTGTATTTCAAGGCCTGAGGAAAGCAGAACAAACTAAAACCAAAATCAGTATTAGAAAATAAATAATAGAGATGAGAAGAAATAAACGACATAGAGACTAAAAGAACAATACAATCAATGAAACAAAAAGTTGGTTCTTTAAAAATATAAAGACCTTTACACTAATCAAGAAAAGAGAGAGAAGACATAAATAAATATAAGTAGATATGACAAAGGAGATATTACCATAGAAATTCTAAAGTTCATTGGAAATTATTTGAAAAGCTACATGTTCAGTAGTTGGAAAATATAGAAGAAATGAACAAATATCTGGACACATATAACCTACCAAAATTGATCCAAGAGAATATTCAAAAACCTGACTAGACCAATTGAAAAAGACTATCGACAAAGAAAAGCCCAGAACTGGATATCTTCAATTCTGGATTTTACCTAACTTTTAAAGAACTAACACCAATGTTTCTCAAAATGTTACATAGAATCCTTCCAAGCTCAGTTTATGAGGCTAGCATTAACCTGCAACCAAACCCTGACAAGGATACAAAAAAAAAAAACTATAGATCAATCTCCCTGATGAATATAAATGCAAAAATACTCAATAGAATACCATCAAATTGACTATAACAGCACATATATAGGATCATGCATCATGATCAAGTTGGTTTAATTCCAGGGATGAAAAGATGGTTCAACATCCACAAATCAATGGCATACACATCACATAAATAAAATGAATGATAAAATTATATGATATTTTCAGCAGATACAGAAAAACACATTTGATAAATTTCAACAATTCTTCATGATAAAAGCCTTAAACAAAGTAGGTACAGAAAGATCACATCTCAGCATAAAAAAGGCCAAATATGACAGACTCATAACACCATATTGAATGAGGAAAAATTGAAAACATGAATCAGACAAAGGTATTCACTCTTACTGATCCCATTAAACACGAGAAATTTTAGCTAGAGCATTTAGGCAAGAGAATAAAACAATAAGTATACAAATAGGAAGTCTAATTATCTCTGCTTATAGATGATATGATTCTATATATTAAAAAACCCTAAAGACTATTAGCATTGATAGCTTTGGTAAAATAGCAGGATACAAATCAACACACAAAAGTAAGTAATATTTTTATTTACCAACAATGAATTTGTTAAGAAAGAAATCAATACAGAGATCCTGCTCATAATAGCACATATATAAATAAAAAAGATTTTCAAAACCCCAGGAATAAACTGAACTAAGGAAGTAAAAGACCACTACAATTACAAAATAATAGTTAATATGCATTATTATTAATAATAGCATTATTACAAAATAACAGTATGCATGCTCATGTTCATAGCAGCATTTTTCATAATAGGTAAGGTATAGAATCAGCCTAGCTGCCCATAAACACATGCATAAAGAAAATGTGGTATATTATGTGTAGCCATGAAAAAGAGTGAAATCTTGTCATTTGTGCAAAATGAATGGAATTTGAGAACATCATGTTATGTGAAATGCGTCAGATACAGAAAGCAAGTGTCACGTGTTCTCTTTCATATGTAAAAACTAAAATGAAAAAGTAAGCCAGGCATGGTGACACACACCTGTACTTCAAGCTACTCAACTTGCTAGGGCAGGAGGATCACAAGACTGAGGCCAGCCTGGGCAACACATTCATTAATGAATGTATACATGTATGAGAAATGAACAAATTTCTGGACACGTATAACCTACCAAAATTGAACCAAGAGAATATTTCTTTAAATATTTATAAATATATGTGCATAAATAAATAAACCTAAAAGAAGAGCAATTACCAGGGAATTAGAAGGGTATAGGGGGATAGAGGTAGACATGCACACAAGGAAATATCACAATAATACCATTCATCTATATAATTATTTTATTTAAAAATTTTTTAAACACTGAAAAAAGACAAGTGTACCCAACCTTTTTTGTGCGTGCATTCCTTTTTCAGTCTGGTAAACCCGGAGGATTCTTACTCAGAATATTGTTCTGAAGTACATAAAATATATATGGGCTTTAAAAAAAGAAACCTGTTATATTGAAATATAGTAACCACACTATTTTTAAGGCAAATCATAAATTACAATGTATAATCTTTTTATTAACACATTAAATATGTGCAGCAGATCTAGCACCATAAATTAGTACGTGATTAAAAAATGTTTTGAGATGTCTGAAAATATTATAATTTGATATAGACATCTATTTCTATCCATGACAGAAATACTGATATTGCTGACAATATTATGGTTTGTTGTCTATGTTCATACTTGGGAAGAAATGCTAAGTTTCAAAGATATGATTGCTTTCTTGTCCAAGTTCATAGATCCAATGAATTCTATTAATGGGT